CATGTTATAGGGCCATTGCTCTTGTTAATTGTTTTTGTTTGGTTGGTTGCTTTTTTGCTCTTCTATATTTCATACCGCTGTCTATGTAATGAAGCAAATGAAAGAACAGGTTACACGTGCCTTGTACCGTACAGAAATAGATATTCCTTATCGCTTTTACATCAGAATGACTATATTGATTACTCAAACAACGCCGTGACCGTGTGTGTGTGTATGTGTGGGGAGGGAGGGAAGGAAATTTTGCTCATAACTCAGTCATACAGTCAAAAGGAAGGCGGTGCGTGATAGTGATGGGCAGCATGATCTTTACAGCTCCATTAATGAGGAGCTTTGTCCTCCTTCAGACTTGAAACATTTAACTCTGAGGCTTTGGCCCATGCCAAAAACAAGCTGTTTTGGGTCCTGATGGATCCATCAGCTGAATGGACGACAGTCACTCAACATCCTGTACTGTGCTCCAAAGGTGCAATGGGGATGCTGTCCAAGCAGTTCGAGGGCTTGCTCTTGACTCTCCTAATTGCTCAGCCATGCAACAGGAAACAGACTGTTATCCATGGACACATGTGCTTAGCTATGGAGACTTTCCTGCAAAATTAAATGAGTTCCATACCAAGGGCACAAAGTTTGAAGTAATMCAGCCAGGCCTGACCTACTTCATCCACTCAGCGCAGCCACGTAAGACGTGCTGGAAGCAACTTCACGCCCTTTTACTGAATGGGAAATAGAACTTTGATCTGAAACCACTGGCATCAATCGCAAACACTGGTGTACTGCAGCTAGTGTGGATAGACAGGATGCCTTCAAATTTCTGCATATGAATTACAGGGTACTTGGAGACCCTAAAAATGCCTCCAGTTAGGGAAACACTCAAATATTCTTATAGCAGTGTTGTTTAAATGCAGTCTCTTGTTGGCTCAAAGGTCTGTGAAGCACGTTTAGTGAAAATGAGTTTAAGAAGTTATTTGACGTCAAATAGTTTACAATGATTCATTGTTAAAAAAAAAAAAAAATACACACACACCAGCAGACAAAGTGTTTTCAAAAATAGCATACTTCAAACAAGCATGTCTGAAACGTGTTTAAGCATGATCAAAGGCAAACAAAGCCACAGTATAAACATGATCAAAATAAAATTACATCTAAAACCACTTCTCTGATCTTGCAGCCAATGCGAGCAAGCTAAAAATAAAACGAAACAAAATAAAAAGATTTTGATGTAAAGCAATAAACCTCAAGAAGCAAATTATTAGAAAGCACACCTTTTTTTCAACCTCCTTTTCTAATTCTCCTTGCCATGGAGCTATTTCTCAGCTCCAACACAACACCTTTCCAGTGCCACTTTTTGCCCTTCTGCAAGCACCAGCCCTGCAGACATCTCATTGGCAGCAGCCCATTAAAGTGTCCTTCGTGAGAAATCTGCCTCTTTATGGAAACGACACCTTGGTCCAGCTGCCTCTGTGATTTATATGTCATTGTTTGCTTAGTTAAGTAATGGGAACATGTTTTGCTTGTCTCAGCATTTCAGGTTCAGAAAAAAAGTTAAGAAAATCGATCTGCATTTGTTCCTTTACAAWTGTTATTCTTTAGCAGTAACAACCTTGTGCACACACGCACACAAAACAACAGAAGGAAACTATGAAAGTCAGCAACTGGATTTTCAGCTGAACTGAGTTAGCATTTTAATGAAGATGTATAAACTAAAACATGGAAAAATTACCTTTAGTTGTCAAAATTGAATAAGCTGAAGGTGCAGAAG